CAAAACTCTGCATTTGAACAGTCAATAGCAAATATTTAAACTAATAACAAAACAGTAGCTGATTCAGAAGCGCCAGATATTCATAGCAAAGTCAGAATTACCTCTTCTCCTAGGTTCACGAAACGGTCGTTCATAAAATGCATTGCTGTTCTGTTGTAAGTAATCTTAAAGATTCCTAAATGTATCTACTTTCGGAAGGCCAAATAAAGTGCTTTTGTTTTTGCACTGAAACACACAGCGACTCCCTGACATGGCTGCTTCAACACTAACTGCGGTTACTGAAACCACGCCTTCTTTCTTTGCGTGCACATTTGGGCCGCATTATGCTAATATTTCCACATAGTGAGGTAGATATGTGGGGGCGTGTTAGAACGAGCCGTTTTAGGGGGGCGTGGCAGAGTCTTAACTTTGATAAAGAATATCTCTTTGGATTTGAGACTTTAGTCTTTGCAACTTCAGGGATCTTATCTATGCACAATCAGCTTGTAACACTCCAAAGAGAAAGGAAAACTTGAAATCGCATCATATGACCCCTTTAAAGAAATAAAGTGTAAAGAAATAATTTACACTTGACTCTCCATTTGTAAAAACATACTTAAAAACTAGCCTATGGGGAAACCAGAAGCTCATCCACCTAGAAAAGCAGTTCCACCACTTAAAGGATGATTGAAGTGCCTTTAGAGCTTAATATAAGCACTTGGAACAAAAATGCAAGCTTCACATTTTTACTTGAAAACCCCCTGAAATGGCCCATAGTCTTTTTTTAGTACATTCCTGTTCTTTTTTACAGAGGCATGAGTCAAAGTTCTGTGGTAATCGATAGCAGTCCATACATAGAGCTTAACTTGTTTTAAACCCAGAAAATTCCTTGAGTCAATTGTCTGGCTATGTGTGAGTTCTTTCATCTTCGCCGCTGTGAAGGTGTGTTTGAGGTTTATGAGCTCTCAAAAGTGACAATAAACAATACGAGTCACAGAGAACATAAACACTTTTTATGTTGCTCTTTAAATAAATACTTTTTATGTTTAATTGCTCACAAACACCATCCTCGCTACAAGAAAAGAACAACTATTGATTTTGTTGCAGCGTTATGGTCTCAGCCGAAATCCATTATAGACACTTTCCTTACTTAAACCATAAAGTGCGGCCACCGTGTGGCGGATTGAATTGGCATCCTGATAATGGGCCATTGTTTCCCCTTCAAGCTCTCTGGACTTACGCTCTATATGTTGTCATGAATCACGGCGCAAGCTGTGTCTTTCACTGTCCAGAATGGAAAGTTGATTCAGTGGTCCTTTTATATCCCAGCAGCACCTGGAGCCATGGAAGCTCTATGCCACCGTGGGAGCCCTGCTGGTTATCGACATCCTGTCCCTTATGATTTGGCAGATCGTGGATCCCCTGCACATCACAGTGGAGGTATGGCAGCACTCAGTTTTTGATCAAGGACTGTGACACAGCTGGATTGGTGTTTGGCCTCAAGGTGCATATAAACAAAATATTGAATGAGCTGCTGTTGTGTTTCTCTTTCTATCTGAGCAGAAGTTCACTAAAGAAGCACCTAAAGGTGACGTGGATCAGTTGATTGAGCCTTTGCTGCAGCACTGCAGTTCAGAGAAAATGAACACATGGCTTGGTAAGACTTCTCTGGGTTTGGCACTGTATTTGTTCACATTGCACCCAATTCTGATTTGTTTTTTTGTCGAATGTAAATGCCTACACTCTTAAAAATAAAGGTTCCTTATTGGCATTGGTTCCATGAAGAACCTCTAACATTCATGGAACATTTTCATTGCATTAAACATTCTTTATAGTGGGGAAAAAATTATTTAGAATTTTAAAATGTTCTTCACACTAAGAAAAAATGGTTCTTTTAAAAATTGTTCACTGGAAGGTTCTTTGGGGAGCCCAAAATGGTTCTTCTATGGCATCACTGCGAAACCCCTTGAAACCTTTATTTTTAATAGTGTACAGCTGCATTTTATACATTTTACCAGTTAATGCATTTCCTGACTGTATTTCAGTTCAAAAACCTGCTTTTTATTTACCAACCACTTGTAATCTAGTTAAACCCGACACTATCTGTGCTGATTTAGGGCTGCGGAAGGCATATTTAAATTAAGTCGTTTTTGTAGAAAACAGGCAGTAAATAGAATTTTGTTTGAAGGAGATGTTTGTGTACATTTTCTAGTGATCATGCTGGCGGTGATTCATCAAGCGATGATTAAATGATATATTATAAGCAGTGTATATCCAGATGCGCAGTGTAATCAAGCACCCTTAAGACATTTTAAAGAGCCGCCTGAGCTGCCTGGAACACACTGGAGGAGTGATGCTGCACATTTGCAGTAAAGTATGACAGATTCCCTTGTGAAAAAAGAAGTGTGCTAAATTAATTTCAATGTGCACTTGTAGTATACTTTAAATAATTTGAAGTATTTTTAAGTATATTTTAAATATTTATATCTATAAATATATAAGTATATTTTAAATATATTTTTATATTTATTATATAATTATATATATTTTTTTAAAACTGCAGAAAATATAATGAAGTAAACGGCCACTTAATTGTACTTAAAGAGAGTAGACTTCAATGACTGTTTCTTAACGCACTCACATACACTTATAAAAAGTACTCTTTGTAATAATGTCAAATTAAACGTTTTACCTTAAACTACATCTTAAATCATTATATTTTAGAAATATTGTTTCTTATTTTGATCTGTTGACTAACATATTAAAGCACATGTGAAGTACTTGATTATAACTGTAACTGTGTTATTCAATATTACATTTAAAGTTATTATATTTTAAATGACCTAAATTGCAACTTCTTTACAAATGTGTAATTACAGATATATTTAAATACATGACATAGAAGTTTCAGTAGAGATGACATAAGTTTATAAGTATTAGTTTACCATAAATGTTTGTCAGAACATTCAGCGGTACACTTTAACCATATTTAAAAGACAATAGAAGTAATTGTGAAATTACATTATAAAGATGTACTTAAGTCCTACTTAAACGGTTAGTTCACCCAAAACTGAAAATTAGCCCATAAATTATTCACCCTCAAGTCATCCTAGGTGTATATGACTTTCTTCTTTCAGACGAATCCAGTCGGAGTTATATTAAAAATTGTCTTTGATCTTTCAAGTTGTTTAATGCCACTCAGCGGGTGTTGCATGCATCAGTCCAAAAGAAGTTAAATAAAAAGCGCCCATCCATAAACAAAATGTCTCACACGGCTCCGGGGGGTGAGTGTCACATGTTAGTGTCCTGATGTTACCTGATTTGCATAATTCCTATATTAAATCAGATACTAAAACAACACAGACGGTGCATGCAAATAAACGAGACTACTAACGGTTACCCTGTGCCTCTGCTCTTGTTCGTCATGATCTTGTCATGGTGTCTGAATAAAGCCTATAAGCCTGTGAGTGAAAGAGTGATTTAATGAAGGAACCCCAGTGGTGTCAACCTTCAGCCTCTCAACTCAGGTGTTTCCTGCTTGTAAGTGTTTAACTAATTAAACAAATTAATTGCTACCTTTATGAGACAAATTGGACTGGCCTTGCTCTTCCAGTTACGGTCAGCCTTCAGTGTATTCTTCAGGCAAAGTCCTTGAGAAATGAGCACAGCTGGCCGTAAACAGACCTGTCATACAAATACTTTCTGTCATAACAGTTTCTCTGCATAAACCATTTAGGGCATTTGGTCCAAGGACGCATGGACAGCAGTATCCTTTCACGACATCTGGATGAGAACATAATTGATCGAACAGAACTAAAACAAACCAAATATAGCAGAGTTCTCAGTGAGATCACAAAGTGTGGTGTGAATGTGAGGGATGAATGGTTAGATACAGGCAAAAGTCATGGGAGCAGGCAGCGCCTGTGACTGACTGATTACCCTGTCAGAGTGATAATGTCCACCTATCATGTTTGCATCGGCCTGAATACATCAAACTGGTGGAAATGGATGGACTAATTACATAGTAAACAGCTCACCCACTCAGATAGCACCATTTTCGGTCACATCCAAAGCCAAATGAATTTGAAATGATAATCTGAGAGTGAGCTGGTTTTTAGCAAACACTCAGTTAAATTAAATCTGCACCCCCAGTCTGCGACCTTCATTACACCAGCAGTGTTTACCGAGGATTTAAAGGATTAGTTCACTTCCAGAATAAACATTTCCTGATAATTTACTCACCCCCATGTCATCCAAGATGTTCATGTCTTTCTGTCTTCAGTCGCAAAGAAAGTAAGGTTTTTGAGGAAAACATTCCAGGATTTTTCTCCATATAATGGACTGCAATGGTGCTCAACGGGCTGAAGGTCCTAATAGCAGTTTCAATGCAGCTTCAAAGGGCTCTACATGATCCCAGCCGAGGAATAAGGGTCTTATCTAGCGAAACGATCGGTCATATTCTTAAAAAATAAAAATGTATGTACTTTTTAACCACAAATGCTCATCTTGCACTAACTCGACCTTACGCATTATGTAGTCACATTGGAAAGATCACATATGATGTAGGAAGTACCGACCCAGTGTTTACAAAGCGAACGTGGAAAGTTTCGCCCTACCCAACCGGAGTACACAGACGAAGAGCTAACCGCACGTGACCTTTCCAACATGATTACGTCATGCGTGAATTTGCAGACGTGCATCACGGAGCTAGTGCAAGACATGCATTTGTGGTTAAAAAGTATATAATTTTTTTTGTAGAAAATGACTGATTGTTTTGCTAGATAAGACGCTTATTCCTCAGCTGGGATCATGTAGAGCCCTTTGAACCTGCATTGAAACTGCAATTTGGATCTTCAGCCCGTTGGCCACCATTGAAGTCCATTATATGGAGAAAAATCCTGGAATGTTTTCCTCAAAAGCATTCATTTCTTTGCGAAACTGATGACAGAAAGACATGAACATCTTGGATGACATGGGGGTGAGTAAATTATCAGGAAATTTTTATTCTGGAAGTGAACTAATCATTTAATGGTCAGACAAGAAGGTGATGATAAAAAATAGACAAGCAACAGCCAGTGGTAACAAATCAAAAGCTCAATGAAATATGATTGGTATTGTTGTATATTGTTTTCGAAGCACTGTAAAAATGTTTAAAAACCCATAAACTTGATGAGAGTTTGATATGATGGGATTTAATAAATATTATGATAATTTACAATACCTTTCAAAAGTCAATTTTAAAAGAGATTTTGAAAGAAGTTCACCAAAGCTGCATTTATTTGATCAAAAATACAGTAAAAAAGTAATAATGTGAAATTATTCACAATATTATTACAATTTAAAATAACTGTTTTCTATTGTAATATATTTTGAAATGTATTTTTATTCCTGTGATCAAAGCTGAATTTTCTGCATCATTACTCTTCAGTCTTCAGTGTCACATGATCCTTCAGAAATCATTTTAATATGCTGATTTGCTGCTCAATAAACATTTTTTATTATTATCAATGTTGAAAATGTAAACACTGAAATAGTAAAAAAAAAACACCTAAATAGTAGAAAACATTTAAATTGTTTTTGATCAATTTGGAGAAAAAAAAAAAGGGTTTATTTCTTAAACAATATAATCTCACTGGCCCCAATCTTTTTAATAGTAGTTTAATAGTAATCAAAATATATTATTATATTGGTATATTAATATAATCTAAAATAAACCATATTGCCCTTACAAAGACCTGAGATGACCGAACACCTGAGAAGAGATGATGCAACCCCCTCAGAGGACCTCAGATGATGCCAACCCCTCAGACAACATACAAAACTACCAAATTTTGCTACAAGTTTGATTGCAACATATAATCATTGCTGTTAATAGTGATCATCGTTTGATTGCGTCATTAACTGAATTTTACCATACATTTCTGCCATATGTACATCAATTTGACATAGTCACCACTGACAAGCTACTACTAAATATATTGTAGAAACGTAATTTTCTGTAAAGTTGCTTTGCAATGATTTGTATCGTGAAAAGCGCTATACAAATAAACTTGAATTGGATTGAATTGAATTGCTCCGTTTGTTTGAGTGGCCCAACACCGCAACATTGGCTCCATCAGTAGTGAGTGTTGAAGTGATTTGGGATGGAACAATGATAAGGACAATAAGGATGTTTGGAAACCTGTTCATTATTTTTGTCTCTGTTTTGTCTTTTAGGTGTCGTTTATGGCTATAAGGGTTTGCTGCTGCTTCTGGGGATTTTTCTGGCTTATGAAACCAAATCTGTGTCCACTGAAAAAATAAACGATCATCGAGCTGTTGGGATGGCCATCTACAATGTCTCTGTGAGTCTGTTCATCTTTTTTATACTTGTCCCTCTGGACATTTTAAAGAGCGCCTTGGGTGACATTTGAAATGTCAGTCGTCACCCAAATATTGTCCAATTAAAAGGTAGAACTGTTCAGCTGACGTGACTGAAATAGCACCGCAGAGGGTTTTTTTCCTTTCATTGCTCAAGTTTAGTTGGGAGTTGGCTTGTGAATTGGACGCAGCGTCAATCTGGAGCTGTTGTGTGTCACAACACACTCATAAGCAGCAAGAACATGCCTGGAGCTCTTCAGTGTGGCTCTGCTAGATTTGATGGAAGTGAAGTGTCTGAGCCTGCCATCTCGAATGCTGTCCAGGGACGCAGAGTTTTCCAGAGGACAGGGAAAAGGGGGGAAAGAGAGCTTCCCCTCATCACCGGGAATAAGCGTGCACGTCAGTTTGACGAGACTGGAGCTCTAAAGTAGTTCGAAAACTCAAGTAAAGTGGTCCCTCAGTAATGTTGAAAGTTGTTTGTTTTTGCACATCATCTCGTCTGTTCCACTTTAGCATTTCAGTGCCGCCCCACGGCTCACAAGTCATGAAAGCAGCACGTACCATGCTGATAACACACTCAATGTGGAGGCTAAATACACAGGAATCTCGTTTAATTTGCCATAAAGACTTCTGGTCTGTTTTCTATGGTGAAAGTCGATTGGAAATAAAGCACAAAGCTTTTGTTCATCAGCTTTTTCATTGTAAGCTTTTCATTTGAAGCAGTGTGTTTCTCTTCATCTCGGCCTCCGAGGATTATCCATTATACACTGAACCCAATTTTAGCTCAAATTGAGGGAGAGACTTTAGATCAGCAAGGGGCCGAATTTTGCATTTTAATCTTGTCTCAGGCCGACTCCTGGCCCTTAGCAAATGCCCATTCTGCTAAAGAAAGGATCTCAGATGCCATCTGCCATGCCATTACAAACTCCATCACTTTTTTAGAATTTCAGCTGCTTGGAGGACAATAATAAAGACGAGAGCCCTCCGGTTCACAGCAAACTGATAAGATTTATTGAATTCACATTCTGAGGACTTGTTTGACACCCGAATCAAGAAATAGAATGCATAGAGGTTTTTGAAATATTATTTATTTTATTTATTTATTTATTTGGAAGGGACCATGTACAGTATTAAACATAAATGTTTCCATTTGATGTTCCATAGTTAGCCAGTGGCTAGTTTTTATCTGCAGTCCTTTGGCAGGTCACCATTAATAACCTCCTCTCAGTAAAATAACAGAACAATTTCTGCATGATGCATTCAATATATCGTACATAAGTCATAAGTACTTTCATATATTTATATACTTATAATAAATGTATACGTTTAAAAAAAAAAAAAATAGTGCACCCAGCAATAAGCCTGATGAAATAAACAGTGAGTACCAACTTTAATTTCGTTTTTTCCACACTCGAAGCTAGAATGTTAACTTTTATTGTGCTTTTATGGTTGTTTTGGGGATAATTCGCCCAAAAATGGAAATTCTGTCATCATAACTTAACCTCAAGTTGTTCCAAACCTGTTTTTTTTTTTCTTTTCTTCTGTTGAACACAAAAGAAGATATTTTGAAGACTGTGGGAAACCAAACAGTTGCTGGTCACAATGACTTCCATAGTATTTTTATTTTATTTTTATTATTCTATAGAAGTCAGTTGAAACCAGCAATTGTTTGGTTACCCACAGTCTTCATAATCTTCTTTTGTGTTCAACAGAAGAAAGAAACTCATACTGGTTTGGAACAACTTGAGGATGAGTAAATAATAACAGTATTATAATTTTTGGGCGAACTATCCCTTTAACTGTCATTTATATAGTCATTATTTAAAATGTCTCCTTTTTGTGTTCCACAGAAGAATTGAAAGTCATATGGGTTTGAAATGACATGAGGATGACTAAATAATGACATACTGTAAATTCTGTCATCATTTACTCACCCTCATGTTGTGACAAACATGCAAAAAAATAAGAAATCAGGAAGGGGGCCAACACTTTTTCACACCACTGTATATATATGTATATGTTCATGTTATGTGCTATTGTAATGATTTTATTCGTTTTGGGGTTTTTTCTACTCTGCTTTAATTTATTTTTATTTCAGTTTTGGTTTTAGTAATTTTAGTACTTATTTAGTAACTTATTTTATTTCAGTTAGTTGCAAAGGCAACATTTCTAGTTTTTAAGTTCAGTTTTTTCATTTATCAAACTTTTTTATTTTCAAAATTTGGAAACTATTTTTATAGTTTTACTTAACAATTACAACACTGTGTTGGACGTTGTCAATACACAAATATAGTTGTTCCAAACCTGTTTTTTTTTTTCTTTTCTTCTGTTGAACACAAAAGAAGATATTTTGAAGACTGTGGGAAACCAAACAGTTGCTGGTCACAATGACTTCCATAGTATTTTTATTTTATTTTTATTATTCTATAGAAGTCAGTTGAAACCAGCAATTGTTTGGTTACCCACAGTCTTCATAATCTTCTTTTGTGTTCAACAGAAGAAAGAAACTCATACTGGTTTGGAACAACTTGAGGATGAGTAAATAATAACAGTATTATAATTTTTGGGCGAACTATCCCTTTAACTGTCATTTATATAGTCATTATTTAAAATGTCTCCTTTTTGTGTTCCACAGAAGAATTGAAAGTCATATGGGTTTGAAATGACATGAGGATGACTAAATAATGACATACTGTAAATTCTGTCATCATTTACTCACCCTCATGTTGTTCCAAAGCCATATGACTGTCATTCTTCTTTGGAACATGAACTAAAATATTTTAAAGATTGGCTTGCTGCTCTTTTCCATTCAGGATTCACTTACTGTTTGCATTATTTAGCATGGCCATGCATTTTAAGCTAAAAGCATGCAGGTTTTCATACATCATTACTGCTCTGTCATGGTGTGATTCAAATGGGCTCTGTGAAAGCCGTAGGCTACTGCTGTGAGTCCAGCTGTAAACCGCTTTGTTTAGAGAGACTGCTTGCACTTTTTGTCCTGTCCAAATAACTAATGACCCTGTAAAAAAAGATCACCTCTGTTGATGCCAGACAACATTTTCTTTTTGCTAGCCTGGATAAGATTTTACTGGTTTTGTGAGAAATGACTGACTGATGATCAATATTTATTGCTTCATGCTTCTTTCTCTCTTGGCTTCTGTTCTCCCTTCCTCTGCCTTCTAAAGAAGTTTTTTCTTTTAGTTATGTAAACATCACATTATGAACGATCTTGTGAATATATTATCATGCCTTCATCGTTTATTTCTGCTGCTTTTCAATAGCCATTTATGCATATACTTTATTGCTGAATGTGCCATACCCAGACTTTCAATCATAAATGAAAATCAGTGAAATAATTGTGAAATATTCGTAAACCATTTTAAAATTTATTGTGTAAACATTTATAAGGAAAATGAAATTTGAGAAATTTGTATTTAGCATAATTTATCCCAATATTCTGTAAAATAATGCAAAAAAAGTGTGAAAATATTAATTGTATTTAGGATATATAAAATGCTAGCTATGTAATTAGTAATTTTATTCCAAAAATGTTTAAAATCTTTAAACAAATTTTTATCATGCAATACATCATTTAAGAATTTAGAACAGTGGTTCAGAAAAATAATAATTCAGATGAAGTGAGAGAACCCTCTTTTGATAATTGTTATTTTAGTATTATTTATGTACTGTTGTAGTATATATTATTATTTTAGATTCGTTTTATATATATACAGTGGTGTGAAAAAGTGTTGGCCCCCTTCCTGTTTTTTTATTTTTTTGCATATTTGTCACACTTGAAAGATTCAGATCATCAAACAAATTTGAATATTACACAAAGATAATGCAAGTAAATACAAAATGCAGTTTTTAAATGATTATTTATTTTATTAAGGGAAAAAAGCTGTCCAAACCTGCCTGGCCCTACGTGAAAAAGTAATTACCCCCTAAATCTAATAACTGGTTGTGCCACGCTTTGCAGCAACAACTGCAATCAAGTGCTTGCGATAACTGGCAATGAGTCTTTCACATCGCTGTGGAGGAATTTTGGCCCACTCTTCTTTGCAGAATTGTTTTAATTCAGCCACATTGGAGGGTTTTCGAGCATGAATGGACTGTTTAAGCATCTCAATCGGATTTAAGTCCGGACTTTGATTTGGCCACTCCAAAACCTTAATTTAGTTTTTCTTGAGCCATCCAGAGGTGGACTTGCTGGTGTGTTTGGGATCATTGTCCTGCTACATAACCCAAGTGCGCTTGAGCTTGAGGTCACAAACTGATGGCCGGACATTCTCCTTCAGGATTTTCTGATAGAGTGCAGAATTCATGGTTCCGTCAATTATGGCAAGTTGTCCAGGTCCTGAAGCTGCAAAGCAGCCCCAGATCATCACACTACCACCACCATGTTTGACTGTTGGTATGATGTTCTTTTTATGAAATGCTGTGTTGGTTTTACGCCAGATGTAACGGGACACACACCTTCCAAAAAGTTCAACTTTTGTCTCATCAGTCCACAGAATATTTGCCCAAAAGTCTTGGGGATAATCAAGATATTTTTTGGCAAATTAGAGACGAGCCTTTGTGTTCTTTTTGGTCAGCAGTGGCTTTTGCCTTGGAACTCTCCCATGGATGCCGTTTTTGCCCAGTCTCTTTCTTATTGTTGAATCATGAACACTGACCTTAATTGAGGCAAGTGAGGCCTGCAGTTCTTTAGATGTTGTTCTGGGTTCTTTTATGACCTCTTGGATGAGTCGTCGTTGTGCTCTTGGAGTAATTTTGGTTGGCCGGCAACTCCTGGGAAGGTTCACCATTGTTCCAAGTTTTCTCAATTTGTGGATAATGGCTCTGACCATGGTTCGCTGGAGTCCCAAAGCCTTAGAAATGGCTTTATAATCCTTTCCAGACTGATACATGTCAACTGTTTTGATTATCATCTGTTCTTGAATTTCTTTAGATC